CATGATGACTGTGTATATCAAGATTATTGTCTATATAAAATTCAAAGTCGATTTATGTTGAACTAAATGTGCTGGAAAGATTATTTCATAATGAGTATGCTCAAATATAGGACAATATTCAAAAACAGTTATTAAGTCTTTCACCGATAAATAACAATATTTTCAAGTTCTATTTTCTTCTTCAATGCTAATGACGATGTAATATTTCTTAATATTTGGATCTAGCAAATGGATGATTAAATCAAATAATTGATCACAAAGAATTTTACTTGGGAAAAGAGGTTTGATCCAATGAGGAATGGGGAGATGAAATCAATATTTCTATGAATAATTGTTTAATCTGAAGCTCTATCTAACGATTATCATACGAAGTTTTTAAATAGCAACTTGCATAGTTTTTTAATAAGTTTTGAGATTTTTCGGGACGTGACATGTCAAAATAGAATATTTACATTCGGGAATTTTTTTCCTGGATACATTGAATGCTCATTTTTCAAAATCAATTAGGATAGATACTGAAGCGAATATCACATTATTCTTTTGTACATACACAAGTAATGATTGTAAAAACTTTAAATACGCTTTTTCAGTTTTTATCTGGAAGTGTAGCAGACATGAGCTGGTTCATAGAATATTGATCATGACTGTGTATCATATATGGTTCCTTAAATAATGATGCAAAAGTGCGAAAGATTTCATCTGCATTTCATACGTTCAATTGTTCTATCAAAAGTGCAAATGAATTTATGCATTGTATAACAGCATGAACGAGTGTACTATGTTGAATCTCAAAAACTCTAAATAATCTACACGAGGATTGGAAAACGTCAGTATATGCAATACTTGTTATAAATGTTCGGTTGAAATAATTTAATCTTCTTGAAAAATAAGCACAACACAATAGTGTTTGAAAAGAAATACGCCTTATATTAAACCAAATAGATCTCTTCTATTAATTAATATACAATCGATAACAATCTTAGAATGCTCATATATGGAATGTTTTATCATGATAAGAATTAGTTAAAAAAAACTGACCCAGAGATAAATTTGACAAATATAAGAAATATCTAGTATCAACAGAGGAAATTTTACGATTAAATATCTTGTAAATATCTATGATTAATTGAAATTGTATATACAGAATAATGTAAAAATTAGATTCAATGATTAAATTGAAAATCTTATTAACTTCAAATTAAAATATCAGAATACGAAAATAATTTTGAACGATCATATCAAAAATAAAAATGATATATCAAGTTGTTTCAACAAAGTTAGTGAAGCAAAACCTAGAATACATGACGGCTGAAGTTCAGCACAGAAGCACATATTTTTATTATATAAATATCTTCCTAACTTTAAAAGTAAAACAATGTCATTCAATAACAATGGAAGTTTTGGTAGAACAGTAGCTCCATCACGATAAAGAAAAGATATTAGTACTCCAAGCATAGGTATGATCTCAGTGCATCCATTTTGTTGCCTCTAAATGTATTGTAATAAAACAGAATGAAAAAAAGATCTATCTACATATTTAGAAACCCTATGATTGTAGATTTGAACAAGTGATTTACTAAAATCATTACATATGTCTTGATGAATTTTAGGAACTGTATGAATTATAAATGTCGAAGGTCTAATATTGTCATGACTGTGCATGCCACGACATGTTTTAGTTTGATCATGCCTCCATATTAAAGAATAAGAATATTTACAATCAGTATAGTTCTATTGACCTCTCTCATTTTTATTTCTTTTGGCAATTGATAGATATTTTATTAAAACAAAATGCTGTTCGATCGTTTTTGTAATGAAATAGTTGAATATATCGTCGTTGAGCTCATCGTATTTTCAATTGGAGTTGAGGAATACAACATAGAATATATAGTGACAAATTACTATTTTGGTTGCTTTATTTTTATTGATATATTGAAACATCATACTGTTTACAATATAAAATCGTTCATGTGAACTGTGTAGAAAATCGCAGGTAAATATCATACATAATAGTTGACTCTTTGAAAATTAGATTTTATTTTTATTAACAATAAAGAAATATACGATTTTTTGAATAAGAAAGTAAGGAAAAAAAACAAACAATTTATTTCTGTAACATTATATACACGTATATACAGCAAAAGTTAGAAGTGAAGATGATAGTTTTAGATTTTGTTAACCTTATTTAGAGCAAATGCTTTTAATAAATCATGTAAACTACCTAAATTCTTTCGAGATGGCTGACTCATGGTTGTGCCGATGCTCACGACGGGTGATTGAGTAGCTTTTGAGCCTCGTTGACATCGGTATATTAAGCAACGAGCAAGGAAAAATACTACTATTAGAAGAATACTAAATGCAAAAGTCAATATAATAACCATCGATCTTGTTTCAGTAATATTCTCTTGTTTGAATAAACTGAACCCGGTTTTTTCTGTTTCTTTGATGTTTTTATCTTGAATTTTCATCTGCTCTTCTAAGGTAAGAATTAAATTTTTATCAGACGCAAACGGGTATACTTTTGGAAGGCTCATATTTAATGGACGAACTGATTCGACTATTGGGACGACATCATCATTCACCGTTTTCAATATGTATGGCCTCAACAATTGACATCGCTTATCACTAATAAAGTTGATATTACCCTCACAGTAAAATGTATCCTTACAATTTAAACGGATTAACGTCAATTTTTTTAAGACATGAAATCCTCCGGTTATGGCACAGTTGATGGGTTTTCTTGTTAGCAGTGCCATTAAACCGGGACCAAGTTGCTTGAAATGGGGAGAGCTGTATTGAGAATTTTGTACCTGACAATGGAATGAACGATTAGTTGAAATGAGTTGCTCAAGACACATTATTAATACGTTTCTGAACAATTGGCGGATCTTGACAAATTGTGTAGTCTCCAAAGTCACATACTGACTGCTCTAAGCTATCTCGCCATTCAATATAGCCAGTGGTGGGCAATCCTATCATCTTTGGTAGCCCGACAATCTCTTTTCCTGTATCTTCTTCAGCGATGAAAAAAGGTAAACCAGTAAGTTTATAAACTTGCATCTTATCATTCAGATTTATCTTAAGAACTGAGAAATAAGATGTAAATACAACATTACCTAAATGCTCAGGGTAGTAACCAGAAGTATCGTTAGTATGTGAAACGTTTTGTGACGAAAAAAACTCAACAGTCTGCGCAACAAGCATGTGTGATATAAATGTAGCCTTCGATTCAGAGGTAGTGGGTACTGATTTTCTTAGCCGTTCATACGCAAGCTCAAAATATCATTTTGTTCTCCCATCCCTACAAAATCCAAGTTAAGCTCGTTCCGTTCGATACGACGCATCGAGTTATTCATTCGATCATAAACACGCTCCGCGTGTGTCTTTAAGTTATAATGTGTCTGTGCTCGATCTGTGCTTCGGCAAATAAATCTAGCCGGGAAATACGGTTTACAATATACTCCATGTTTGTTCTCATCGTTTCCATACTTTCTTGAGCTGTATTAAATGAACGTGCAAGTTGAAGTGTACTATTCGTATTAGTCAGCACGGAGAGTTATAAACTTTGTAACTGACGATTAGTGTCAGATACACTATTCCGAATATCTGTAACTCGACTATTCAATTGTGCAGCTTTGATAGTGTTAAAAATAGTAAGACCTCCTGTAAAAAGTAGACCAAGAGTGCCGGCAGCGACACCAATAATTAGTGGTATAAGACGCTTACTACGATGATGGTGACGTTGATGAGTTTTCGTAGGTATTTTTACAGAAGAAAATCGAGTATTATTAATTCTATTTAAGAAATCCGAAATAGAAGATTGACTAGCAATATCCTCCTGTTCAAGTCTGGCACGAATCGATTCCTGATACTGAAGACATAAGCTTAACTTCTCAACTTACTCCATGGGTAAAATAGAACATGCATACTGAGTAACTGGTACAGTGACTGCTAATCCAAAAATGTCATCTACTTCATAATAGTATCCAACTCGACTAAAAGCTACTCCTCTTTCTTCATGTATAACTGTATCTTATCCATGAAGTAACTGATTATAAACACTGTCCTTGGATTGAGTAATTGACAAATTGTCTTTGGGAAGAGAACAGCCATTTGTAAAAAGATGGAAGACAATGATGACGAGATTCAATATTGAGTAACGACGTGCAATCAACAACATATTGGTTGCTACCACTATTTTTTTTATACAAGATTCAAAACTCCTATAATATCAAGTTTAAACGTTCACTTACCGATTAAAAGATAAATTTGAAGACGCTGTGTATATCTCAACAATAGCGATGAACCAGTGTGATGTAGAAGGCGAGAGTGAATGAAATGATGAATTTAACTCAAATTGCAACATTTACATACAATTTTTCAAGAGGAGAGAAGAGAGAATACGAAATAAGATAATTGAGCGTCTCAAATTTTTCGACATGCTGTAAAAAAAATTAACCATAAAGGATTATCATCACAAGGCTATTATTGCACAGTGTGACAAAGTTATGTTTTATCTGATTAAATAATTTTTTCACCGCCTGTTGCTGTTGTCATATAGAATGCCAATTAAGAATCAGAGAATGATAGCGTCGCTAATTGGAAAGAGAACAGTATTACCTTACGCAGATACACGAATGGAATGTACGGAGGTAGAACAGATATATTTAATTAAGCAGCTTTTTCGTGCTACTATCTGTATGTGTCATCTGGTGCCTTTGATGAAAATAGGAACATCTGGAAAATAAACATGAAAATAATTTTGAAAAAAAGTTAGTTTCGCTTTTTTAAAATATATATAAAAGCTGTCTTTTTAAGAAAAAAAAATAAAGTAGTACCTTTCATACCTAAAAATATAAATATCATGTCAAAAAATAAAGTATCCATTGCAAAAGTACAAAAGATGATGTACGAATTGCATATTAATGATGAGATGTGCGTGTCGCATCGGTCAGTCATTTCAAAGACGATTGTAAATGAATCCCTCAAGTGTACTCAACATGAACAGCAACAGCAACGTGCTCGGTCTCGTTTCCTTTATCGTCTCCGACAAAAGAAAAAAAAATCGTCTTCAGCATGGTCCGTTTCCCATTTATCATCAGCAACAACACGCAAATCGAACAAAACATCTTCATCAACAGCAAAAACAATCTGCAGCTACTCAACATACGTATGATCTACTAAAAAATGGAAATAAATTAATTACAGCAATCGTCGGATCGTCATTAGCTAGAAATATTTCGGTGAAACAGATAGAAGGTGAAAGTGAAACAGGTGAGGTACGTCTCCGTTTTAAATCAGGAAGTGACTGTGCTGAATCATCAGCTTGGTTAAAAACACATGAAGGTCGAATGTTCATGCACAACGTGCATCACTTGATATTTATTATTGGTACAAATGATCTCCATAGGGTAGACGCTGATGAAACTGTTCGACGTACTGGATATACAATTCAATCGGTTCGATATTTGTATCCTGGCATAGATATAATTTGGCAAATGCTGCAACAAAGAACTCGAAAGACTTGGTTATTACCCGAAGGTCAACCAGTGTTGAATGATATTAGACGTTGTAATATACAACTAGCTCAATTAGCATCTGAAATGAAATTTGACATAATTCAGCCAGATATTCCAATTGGGTGCATGTTTGATGGTCTCCATCCTTCAGCACAAGGTGTCGCAATGATGGAAAAAACAATTTCCAATTATTTAAAAACAAAAAAAAATGATATAATCTTCTTCGTTTTCACAACTTTCTTCTGTCTCTGAAATTATTGTTTCCCCTCCGGCTTTGATGTCGATTAATTTTTAAATATTCAATGCACTCAATAGTTTAAATAAAATATCTTTCTCTAGTTTTTTTTTATTTTGGATCTGCTATATCTACCGCAAATACAAGAGATATGAGGATACTCATGTTACACCTCAGATATTCCAATAACGATAAACATCGTTGACTATTATTCAACAATGAATATAGCTAAATATACTTCAGAATACTCACCTTCGAATATTATTTAAGAACAAATATCATTAAATATTTTTCAACAAGAATTATCATTGAATATAATAAAAAAAAATAAAACATCGTTATATATTCTTGAACAATAAATATCAGTCAATATGATTCGATAAAACATATCGTTGATGATGATTTAGCGATAAATATAGTGGAATATCTTCAAAGAGTTACGAACATGAATTTACTCGTATGTGTTAGTTTAATTATCTATACATATAAAACATTATCAAAATGTAGAACAAGAAATAATCTATATAAATACACCACTCTCAAAGATCGAAAATCTGATATCGTGAAGGCGTCTATAAAGTACATGTGCGTTTCTATGCATAGATTTTGTCTCATTGGGGAATGTGTCGTAATGAGCAATTGCTCGATGTGTTGTATCCAATGTGAAGAAGAGAGAAGAAAAAAAATATGGCCTAATGGTGAGTATATAAAGAGGAAAAAAGAAATTGAGTATCATTCATCTTGCAACGTACGTTATCATTCGTCGATTCTGTTAATATACATTCTACAGGGAGTACAAATACAGTAGAAGAGTTCTTTTTGTATTGAAAATGAAACGTAAAACTCCGTTTGTCTCATCTGTAAAAAATAAATGTGATTCAGGTTCAACGCATCATATCGAAGAAAAATCTTCCGATGATCAGTTATCAGAGGAGGCAGTAGGAAATTTCATGAATGATCAGTCGAGTGGAGAAAAGATACAAGGTACACAAAGTATTTGAAATCATATTACTCAAGTTCAATTTATATCTGCCATTAGTGAGTTAGGTTCTGCTCAGAAACAACTTAATAAGGAGACATGGCGTTTAAATGAATTTACTCGTTCTAAAAAATCTATTTGGCATCGATTGATATCGAAATTGAAATTACATCACACAGAAAGGATACGCCATTCTTTGTATAATTTTTGGCGGCGAAATCGTACAAAAATTGAAAGTACTATATCTGAAAATCGTCTTGACTGTGTTCAAGAGGATGATAAATCAAATAAAGAAAATGAAATTGATCTTTCTTCGTTGAACTCAGAGATTAAGCCCCTAGCGTCTGATGAGACTCTTCCAAAGCCAAAGACTCAATCGACAGTTCAAAATCAGTTGAATCTACCGACAATAGTTGAAGCATCATTCATTATGACTTATAAAGAGTGGAAGACTGCTTTTGATTGCTCTGAGCGGGACATCAGATTAGGATGGACAGATGTAATTAATCAGAAATTACGCTCATGCAACTTTCGCTGTATTTTAGTTGTTAAAAACCATTATATTGGTGTTGAAAATTCACGTAAAAAGACTTCTTCCTTTTTTCGTTCTGTTGCCACATGTAAGAATAGTCAGTGCAGCCGATTGTTTGAAATTTTTATCAAAGATGAACCCATAGCGAGAGAAAGTATTGTTTTTCGCATACGAGCTATTGGAGACGAAAATCATGATGGACCGCCAGTAGCGCGACACTTAACTGGAAAAAAGAGATTTGAGGTTGGAAAGGCAGCGAACGCGGTTGGTCCTTTAAAAGTATTTCAAGAAAAAGTAGAAAATGCTGGTGAAGAAATGTTATCCGCTCGTAATTTCACCGATTGCGAAACTGTAGACGTCATAAAACACACAGCAGCAGATTACCGGAAAATATATCAACTTGACGAAGATATTTTCAGAGAATATCGAGTTAGACAACATATACTTGAAGAAATCGATGTGACGTCTGAAAAAATAAAAGGTTATGTACAGGTTATGGCTGAGAAACCATTTCGTCTTCATCTAACATCAGAACAACAAATATTACGTTACATTAGTTATTGTCTAAATAATGTTTACTCACATATATATATATCGATGCAATCGGATCGATAGTCAAGAGTTTGCCACATCAAAAGCGAGTTCTAATGTATGCAGCCGTTTTTTAAGATGGAGACGATCCAACCAATGTAATTCCACTAGGACATGCTATTCTTGCTGATCATACAGCAACGGGCATAAGTTATTTTTTGGGTACTCTTCGACAAGAAATCGTTACCCTCAAAGAGAAAGTTGTTCGACCTTCTTTTTTTGTCATCGACTTCTCTCCAGCAGTATTTAATGCTATTTTACAGACATTCAACCATGAAGATATTCGTGGTCATTTAAAGCAATATTGGAATGTCCTTTTACGAAAAATGATGCGAAACAAATCCGTTCTAAGTCATTTTTGTGCTTTTGCTGTTCTTACATGATGAATGCCTTTGCTAGAAGTCTTTCCGCTGCCAGTGTAGCCAAAAACGTAAGAAAAAGATCATGCATGTGTTCGGTTTGTTCATTAATTGCGGTGAATTGGAAATGTCATTTAAGTTTTTAAAACGTGTTTTACATATGTTTGGTAATCCACACGCTACTGATGCGGAGAACGTTCTTGAGAAATTTTTAGAAGTACCATATGATGATGAAAATATTCCTGAAAAGATTGGTTCTTGTGATTTCGAGGTGGAGGACAATTCAATTGATCCTTTAGATGAAGTAGATGAGAATATAAATGATAGTAAAGCAATTATTCATGAATCACCCTTTAATATTGAAGCTATTCGTCGATTTCCTGAGCTCTCTGAGTTGTTGGATTCCAGAAGAACATATGAAAATGTGACGAATCCGCTTTTTTGTCGTCGAATTATTTTGGTCTTTTATAAGTGGTTTGCTTATTTACCCTTATGGACATATTTGCTTACCGAATTTGAGGAACGATATTCGAATGATCAAAAATCAGTTGATATTCGTCAATATGAACAAGGTCGTCTATCAAACGCTCAAATAGAATCATATTTTGGTGTCCTAAAAGATTCTACACTTGAAAAAAGGACAAACCTGCGGCCAGCAAAGGTGATCGTATCACTTTATCGAAGTGTTCAGGTTCAACTGAAAGCAGATAAATTCAGAGTTTGTCAGAATGTAAAAAGCCGAAAAGGCAAACCAAAAGATATGAATGTAGAGGAGCCTTGGGCAAAGAGGAGAGCTCAAAAGAAACTGCGAAAAACATATTTTCGCCGAATTGATAAATATAGCCAGAAGCGACTTGTATCAAAACCAATCAGTCCTAAACCAAAAACTAATTTTCCTAATAATTTTATTTCTAGCGACTTAGAGCACATGACAAGCCATGCTTTGAATGGCATATCTAATGTCAAATTATTGCACGGTTCACCTGATTTCTCATCATCGAAGTGCGTAAATTCTTTTGCGAAAGAAAATCCTCCAAACGATGTAATTCATTTAAGGAATGAACAAGAGATTCCAATTTCTGACTCAACAATATCTCCAGTTAATATATTGTGATGTGTAGAAATTGGTAACTTCTCCAACGCCTTATTCACTTCAGAACAAGCAAAACATGTATTAAAAGCTGAAAATATAGAGAAAGAGAATTCTAAAAGTCAACATGAAAAACAAAAACCTTGCATAAAAAATGGTATTTAGTTAAAAGATCCTTAATTTCTATTGATATATACATATATACTTTTTACATTAGGAACTGAAGAGAGTATGCGTTTACAACTATCTGGATTACCTAAAGCTTTTGAAACACCTGATTCATCACTTGTACCTCGACTTCGTCAAATCGTCGAGATCCAACAATGTCCTCTTACATGGCCCACTTTTGGCATCAAGAAAACAATATTCGAAGGTATAACTTCATTGTTGCTGTCTGTTAACCGCTAAAAGACATTGAATATTTTTAGGTCATACATATTCAGTTACAAATACCTGTAGTATCGATTCTCCACTTTTCGCTCTTTATGTTGTCTTTCGAACAGAGCCAAGCATCAATGGTATAATCTTAAATTCTCAAAACGAACCGTTCAATTCGCTCTGTGAGACTTTCTTACTAGTCGAATCGGACGGATGGGACGAGGCCAGATTATACTGGCTAACCATTCAAGGTCTCCTTAATTGTGAAGATACTGATACAAAGGACATTTATGGATCGGTCGACAGGAATGTGATACGTTTCATAAAAAATCCTCTTCAATTTCATCAAGCTAAAAGTTTTTGCGTCCGACACACATGTCCACAACGTGAACGTACCATTAAACCTACTGATATAGGTGTCGAGTAAGTAATAAATATGATCACTGAATTAAATGATGGATTAGTGAAATAGTGTAGTTGCTTGATTTCAGTCGTGTCAAGTATGGGTTCCAAGATCTGTCATCGAATTTGTTTAAAAGAAACTTACAAACTAATTAGTCTTTTTGCTTTTCATGAGTGACTATACCTCACTTGTATCAGGAGGGGATTCTTATGTTTTTTGCTATATAACAACTCATCTACTGCTACACTAATGCATCATAATTCAATATACAATGTTCCAATTATTTTCTTGGAATTTAGATGTCGGGAAACGTCCATTTCAAAATTTGAGTATCAAGATACTTTTCCTTGTACTGTCTTCATCAAAAAATGAGGAGACATTACATATAAAGACGCATTCCGTCTTCATTATAAGCGATGTAGAGCACAGGTAATCAATGTCGATACAAATACAATGGAATACACGTAAGTTTAATTCTTAGGGCATACCAAAAGTACGGGCAGTGACACTTTAATACCGTATAGTAGGCTTAAATACATTTCTTTCTATATAGTCTGATAGAGAGAAAAAAGCTCTATCTTTCTATGCTATTTTATCGTATTTCAACTAATATCAAAATATTAAATTATCTATAAA